CTGAAACTCCAACCACAACAACAACTACAGAGGCACCAACAACTACCACTACAGAAGCCTTGACCACTACTACTGAAACACCAACAACTACCACAACTACTGAAACTCCAAGCACTACAACAACTACAGAGGCACCAACAACTACCACTACAGAAGCCTTGACCACTACTACTGAAGCACCAACAACTACCACAACTACTGAAACTCCAAGCACTACAACAACTACAGAGGCACCAACAACTACCACTACAGAAGCCTTGACCACTATTACTACTGAAGCACCAACAACTACCACAACTACTGAAACTCCAAGCACTACAACAACTACACAGGCACCAACAACTACCACTACAGAAGCCTTGACCACTACTACTGAAGCACCAACAACTACCACAACTACTGAAACTCCAAGCACTACAACAACAACTACACAGGCACCAACAACTACCACTACAGAAGCCTTGACCACTACTACTGAAGCACCAACAACTACCACAACTACTGAAACTCCAAGCACTACAACAACTACAGAGGCACCAACAACTACCACTACAGAAGCCTTGACCACTACTACTACTGAAGCACCAACAACTACCACAACTACTGAAACTCCAACCACAACAACAACTACACAGGCACCAACAACTACCACCACAGAAGCCTTGACCACTACTACTGAAGCACCAACAACTACTACAACTACTGAAACTCCAAGCACTACAACAACTACAGAGGCACCAACAACTACCACTACAGAAGCCTTGACCACTACTACTGAAGCACCAACAACTACCACAACTACTGAAACTCCAAGCACTACAACAACTACAGAGGCACCAACAACTACCACTACAGAAGCCTTGACCACTACTACTACTGAAGCACCAACAACTACCACAACTACTGAAACTCCAAGCACTACAACAACTACAGAGGCACCAACAACTACCACTACAGAAGCCTTGACCACTACTACTGAAGCACCAACAACTACCACAACTACTGAAACTCCAAGCACTACAACAACAACTACACAGGCACCAACAACTACCACTACAGAAGCCTTGACCACTACTACTGAAGCACCAACAACTACCACAACTACTGAAACTCCAAGCACTACAACAACTACAGAGGCACCAACAACTACCACTACAGAAGCCTTGACCACTACTACTACTGAAGCACCAACAACTACCACAACTACTGAAACTCCAAGCACTACAACAACTACAGAGGCACCAACAACTACCACTACAGAAGCCTTGACCACTACTACTGAAGCACCAACAACTACCACAACTACTGAAACTCCAAGCACTACAACAACAACTACACAGGCACCAACAACTACCACTACAGAAGCCTTGACCACTACTACTGAAGCACCAACAACTACCACAACTACTGAAAATCCAAGCACTACAACAACTACAGAGGCACCAACAACTACCACTACAGAAGCCTTGACCACTACTACTACTGAAGCACCAACAACTACCACAACTACTGAAACTCCAAGCACTACAACAACTACAGAGGCACCAACAACTACCACTACAGAAGCCTTGACCACTACTACTACTGAAGCACCAACAACTACCACAACTACTGAAACTCCAAGCACTACAACAACTACAGAGGCACCAACAACTACCACTACAGAAGCCTTGACCACTACTACTACTGAAGCACCAACAACTACCACAACTACTGAAACTCCAAGCACTACAACAACTACAGAGGCACCAACAACTACCACTACAGAAGCCTTGACCACTACTACTACTGAAGCACCAACAACTACCACAACTACTGAAACTCCAAGCACTACAACAACTACAGAGGCACCAACAACTACCACCACAGAAGCCTTGACCACTACTACTGAAGCACCAACAACTACCACAACTACTGAAACTCCAAGCACTACAACAACTACAGAGGCACCAACAACTACCACCACAGAAGCCTTGACCACTAGTACTGAAGCACCAACAACTACCACAACTACTGAAACTCCAAGCACTACAACAACAACTACAGAGGCACCAACAACTACCACTACAGAAGCCTTGACCACTAGTACTGAAGCACCAACAACTACCACAACTACTGAAACTCCAAGCACTACAACAACAACTACAGAGGCACCAACAACTACCACTACAGAAGCCTTGACCACTACTACTGAAGCACCAACAACTACCACAACTACTGAAACTCCAAGCACTACAACAACTACAGAGGCACCAACAACTACCACTACAGAAGCCTTGACCACTACTACTACTGAAGCACCAACAACTACCACAACTACTGAAACTCCAAGCACTACAACAACTACAGAGGCACCAACAACTACCACTACAGAAGCCTTGACCACTACTACTGAAGCACCAACAACTACCACAACTACTGAAACTCCAAGCACTACAACAACAACTACACAGGCACCAACAACTACCACTACAGAAGCCTTGACCACTACTACTGAAGCACCAACAACTACCACAACTACTGAAACTCCAAGCACTACAACAACTACAGAGGCACCAACAACTACCACTACAGAAGCCTTGACCACTACTACTACTGAAGCACCAACAACTACCACAACTACTGAAACTCCAAGCACTACAACAACTACAGAGGCACCAACAACTACCACTACAGAAGCCTTGACCACTACTACTGAAGCACCAACAACTACCACAACTACTGAAACTCCAAGCACTACAACAACAACTACAGAGGCACCAACAACTACCACTACAGAAGCCTTGACCACTACTACTGAAGCACCAACAACTACCACAACTACTGAAAATCCAAGCACTACAACAACTACAGAGGCACCAACAACTACCACTACAGAAGCCTTGACCACTACTACTACTGAAGCACCAACAACTACCACAACTACTGAAACTCCAAGCACTACAACAACTACAGAGGCACCAACAACTACCACTACAGAAGCCTTGACCACTACTACTACTGAAGCACCAACAACTACCACAACTACTGAAACTCCAAGCACTACAACAACTACAGAGGCACCAACAACTACCACTACAGAAGCCTTGACCACTACTACTACTGAAGCACCAACAACTACCACAACTACTGAAACTCCAAGCACTACAACAACTACAGAGGCACCAACAACTACCACTACAGAAGCCTTGACCACTACTACTACTGAAGCACCAACAACTACCACAACTACTGAAACTCCAAGCACTACAACAACTACAGAGGCACCAACAACTACCACCACAGAAGCCTTGACCACTACTACTGAAGCACCAACAACTACCACAACTACTGAAACTCCAAGCACTACAACAACTACAGAGGCACCAACAACTACCACTACAGAAGCCTTGACCACTAGTACTGAAGCACCAACAACTACCACAACTACTGAAACTCCAAGCACTACAACAACAACTACAGAGGCACCAACAACTACCACTACAGAAGCCTTGACCACTAGTACTGAAGCACCAACAACTACCACAACTACTGAAACTCCAAGCACTACAACAACAACTACAGAGGCACCAACAACTACCACTACAGAAGCCTTGACCACTACTACTGAAGCACCAACAACTACCACAACTACTGAAACTCCAAGCACTACAACAACTACAGAGGCACCAACAACTACCACTACAGAAGCCTTGACCACTACTACTACTGAAGCACCAACAACTACCACAACTACTGAAACTCCAAGCACTACAACAACTACAGAGGCACCAACAACTACCACTACAGAAGCCTTGACCACTACTACTACTGAAGCACCAACAACTACCACAACTACTGAAACTCCAAGCACTACAACAACTACAGAGGCACCAACAACTACCACTACAGAAGCCTTGACCACTACTACTACTGAAGCACCAACAACTACCACAACTACTGAAACTCCAAGCACTACAACAACTACAGAGGCACCAACAACTACCACTACAGAAGCCTTGACCACTACTACTACTGAAGCACCAACAACTACCACAACTACTGAAACTCCAAGCACTACAACAACTACAGAGGCACCAACAACTACCACTACAGAAGCCTTGACCACTACTACTACTGAAGCACCAACAACTACCACGACTACTGAAACTCCAACCACAACAACAACTACACAGGCACCAACAACTACCACTACAGAAGCCTTGACCACTACTACTGAAACACCAACAACTACCACAACTACTGAAACTCCAAGCACTACAACAACTACAGAGGCACCAACAACTACCACTACAGAAGCCTTGACCACTACTACTACTGAAGCACCAACAACTACCACGACTACTGAAACTCCAACCACAACAACAACTACAGAGGCACCAACAACTACCACTACAGAAGCCTTGACCACTACTACTGAAACACCAACAACTACCACAACTACTGAAACTCCAAGCACTACAACAACTACAGAGGCACCAACAACTACCACTACAGAAGCCTTGACCACTACTACTGAAGCACCAACAACTACCACAACTACTGAAACTCCAAGCACTACAACAACTACAGAGGCACCAACAACTACCACTACAGAAGCCTTGACCACTACTACTACTGAAGCACCAACAACTACCACAACTACTGAAACTCCAAGCACTACAACAACTACAGAGGCACCAACAACTACCACTACAGAAGCCTTGACCACTACTACTGAAGCACCAACAACTACCACAACTACTGAAACTCCAAGCACTACAACAACAACTACACAGGCACCAACAACTACCACTACAGAAGCCTTGACCACTACTACTGAAGCACCAACAACTACCACAACTACTGAAACTCCAAGCACTACAACAACTACAGAGGCACCAACAACTACCACTACAGAAGCCTTGACCACTACTACTACTGAAGCACCAACAACTACCACAACTACTGAAACTCCAACCACAACAACAACTACACAGGCACCAACAACTACCACCACAGAAGCCTTGACCACTACTACTGAAGCACCAACAACTACCACAACTACTGAAACTCCAAGCACTACAACAACTACAGAGGCACCAACAACTACCACTACAGAAGCCTTGACCACTACTACTGAAGCACCAACAACTACCACAACTACTGAAACTCCAAGCACTACAACAACTACAGAGGCACCAACAACTACCACTACAGAAGCCTTGACCACTACTACTACTGAAGCACCAACAACTACCACAACTACTGAAACTCCAAGCACTACAACAACTACAGAGGCACCAATAACTACCACTACAGAAGCCTTGACCACTACTACTACTGAAGCACCAACAACTACCACAACTACTGAATCTCCAACCACAACAACAACTACACAAGCACCAACAACTACCACTACAGAAGCCTTGACCACTACTACTACTGAAGCACCAACAACTACCACAACTACTGAAACTCCAAGCACTACAACAACTACAGAGGCACCAACAACTACCACTACAGAAGCCTTGACCATTACAACTGAAGCACCAACAACTACCACAACTACTGAAACTCCAAGCACTACAACAACAACTACAGAGGCACCAACAACTACCACTATAGAAGCCTTGACCACTACTACTGAAGCACCAACAACTACCACAACTACTGAAACTCCAAGCACTACAACAACTACAGAGGCACCAATAACTACCACTACAGAAGCCTTGACCACTACTACTACTGAAGCACCAACAACTACCACAACTACTGAAACTCCAAGCACTACAACAACTACAGAGGCACCAACAACTACCACTACAGAAGCCTTGACCACTACTACTACTGAAGCACCAACAACTACCACAACTACTGAAACTCCAACCACAACAACAACTACACAGGCACCAACAACTACCACCACAGAAGCCTTGACCACTACTACTGAAGCACCAACAACTACCACAACTACTGAAACTCCAAGCACTACAACAACTACAGAGGCACCAACAACTACCACTACAGAAGCCTTGACCACTACTACTGAAGCACCAACAACTACCACAACTACTGAAACTCCAAGCACTACAACAACAACTACAGAGGCACCAACAACTACCACTACAGAAGCCTTGACCACTACTACTGAAGCACCAACAACTACCACAACTACTGAAACTCCAAGCACTACAACAACTACAGAGGTACCAATAACTACTACTACAGAAGCCTTGACCACTACTACTACTGAAGCACCAACAACTACCACAACTACTGAAACTCCAAGCACTACAACAACTACAGAGGCACCAACAACTACCACTACAGAAGCCTTGACCACTACTACTACTGAAGCACCAACAACTACCACAACTACTGAAACTCCAAGCACTACAACAACTACAGAGGCACCAACAACTACCACTACAGAAGCCTTGACCACTACTACTGAAGCACCAACAACTACCACAACTACTGAAACTCCAAGCACTACAACAACTACACAGGCACCAACAACTACCACTACAGAAGCCTTGACCACTACTACTGAAGCACCAACAACTACCACAACTACTGAAACTCCAACCACAACAACAACTACACAGGCACCAACAACTACCACCACAGAAGCCTTGACCACTACTACTGAAGCACCAAGAAGTACCACAACTACTGAAACTCCAAGCACTACAACAAATACAGAGGCACCAACAACTACCACTACAGAAGTCTTGACCACTACCACTACCGAAGCACCAACAACTACCACAACTACTGAAACTCCAAGCACTACAACAACTACAGAGGCACCAACAACTACCACTACAGAAGCCTTGACCACTACTACTGAAGCACCAACAACAACCACAACTACTGAAACTCCAAGCACTACAACAACTACAGAGGCACCAACAACTACCACTACAGAAGCCTTGACCACTACAACTGAAGCACCAACAACTACCACAACTACTGAAACTCCAAGCACTACAACAACAACTACAGAGGCACCAACAACTACCACTACAGAAGCCTTGACCACTACTTCTGAAGCACCAACAACTACCACAACTACTGAAACTCCAAGCACTACAACAACTACAGAGGCACCAACAACTACCACCACAGAAGCCTTGACCACTACTACTACTGAAGCACCAACAACTACCACAACTACTGAAACTCCAAGCACTACAACAACTACAGAGGCACCAACAACTACCACTACAGAAGCCTTGACCACTACTACTGAAGCACCAACAACTACCACAACTACTGAAACTCCAAGCACTACAACAACTACAGAGGCACCAACAACTACCACTACAGAAGCCTTGACCACTACTACTACTGAAGCATCAACAACTACCACAACTACTGAAACTCCAAGCACTACAACAACTACAGAGGCACCAACAACTACCACTACAGAAGCCTTGACCACTACTACTACTGAAGCACCAACAACTACCACAACTACTGAAACTGCAAGCACTACAACAACTACACAGGCACCAACAACTACCACTACAGAAGCCTTGACCACTACTACTGAAGCACCAACAACTACCACAACTACTGAAACTCCAAGCACTACAACAACTACAGAGGCACCAACAACTACCACTATAGAAGCCTTGACCACTACTACTACTGAAGCACCAACAACTACCACAACTACTGAAACTCCAAGCACTACAACAACAACTACACAGGCACCAACAACTACCACTACAGAAGCCTTGACCACTACTACTACTGAAGCACCAACAACTACCACAACTACTGAAACTCCAAGCAATACAACAACTACAGAGGCACCAACAACTACCACTACAGAAGCCTTGACCACTACTACTACTGAAGCACCAACAACTACCACAACTACTGAAACTCCAAGCACTACAACAACTACAGAGGCACCAACAACTACCACTACAGAAGCCTTGACCACTACAACTGAAGCACCAACAACTACCACAACTACTGAAACTCCAAGCACTACAACAACAACTACAGAGGCACCAACAACTACCACTACAGAAGCCTTGACCACTACTACTGAAGCACCAACAACTACCACAACTACTGAAACTCCAAGCACTAAAACAACTACAGAGGCACCAATAACTACCACTACAGAAGCCTTGACCACTACTACTACTGAAGCACCAACAACTACCACAACTACTGAAACTCCAAGCACTACAACAACTACAGAGGCACCAACAACTACCACTACAGAAGCCTTGACCACTACTACTACTGAAGCACCAACAACTACCACAACTACTGAAACTCCAACCGCAACAACAACTACACAGGCACCAACAGCTACCACCACAGAAGCCTTGACAACTACTACTGAAGCACCAACAACTACCACAACTACTGAAACTCCAAGCACTACAACAACTACACAGGCACCAACAACTACCACTACAGAAGCCTTGACCACTACTACTACTGAAGCACCAACAACTACCACAACTACTGAAACTCCAAGCACTACAACAACTACAGAGGCACCAACAACTACCACTACAGAAGCCTTGACCACTACAACTGAAGCACCAACAACTACCACAACTACTGAAACTCCAAGCACTACAACAACAACTACAGAGGCACCAACAACTACCACTACAGAAGCCTTGACCACTACTACTGAAGCACCAACAACTACCACAACTACTGAAACTCCAAGCACTACAACAACTACAGAGGCACCAACAACTACCACTACAGAAGCCTTGACCACTACTACTACTGAAGCACCAACAACTACCACAACTACTGAAACTCCAACCACAACAACAACTACAGAGGCACCAACAACTACCACCACAGAAGCCTTGACCACTACTACTGAAGCACCAACAACTACCACAACTACTGAAACTCCAAGCACTACAACAACTACAGAGGCACCAACAACTACCACTACAGAAGCCTTGACCACTACTACTACTGAAGCACCAACAACTACCACAACTACTGAAACTCCAAGCACTACAACAACTACAGAGGCACCAACAACTACCACTACAGAAGCCTTGACCACTACTACTACTGAAGCACCAACAACTACCACAACTACTGAAACTCCAAGCACTACAACAACTACACAGGCACCAACAACTACCACTACAGAAGCCTTGACCACTACTACTGAAGCACCAACAACTACCACAACTACTGAAACTCCAAGCACTACAACAACTACAGAGGCACCAACAACTACCACTACAGAAGCCTTGACCACTACTACTACTGAAGCACCAACAACTACCACAACTACTGAAACTCCAAGCACTACAACAACAACTACACAGGCACCAACAACTACCACTACAGAAGCCTTGACCACTACTACTACTGAAGCACCAACAACTACCACAACTACTGAAACTCCAAGCAATACAACAACTACAGAGGCACCAACAACTACCACTACAGAAGCCTTGACCACTACTACTACTGAAGCACCAACAACTACAACAACTACTGAAACTCCAACCACAACAACAACTACACAGGCACCAACAGCTACCACCACAGAAGCCTTGACAACTACTACTGAAGCACCAACAACTACCACAACTACTGAAACTCCAAGCACTACAACAACTACAGAGGCACCAACAACTACCACTACAGAAGCCTTGACCACTACAACTGAAGCACCAACAACTACCACAACTACTGAAACTCCAAGCACTACAACAACAACTAAAGAGGCACCAATAACTACCACTACAGAAGCCTTGACCACTGCTACTGAAGCACCAACAACTACCACAACTACTGAAACTCCAAGCACTAAAACAACTACAGAGGCACCAATAACTACCACTACAGAAGCCTTGACCACTACTACTACTGAAGCACCAACAACTACCACAACTACTGAAACTCCAAGCACTACAACAACTACAGAGGCACCAACAACTACCACTACAGAAGCCTTGACCACTACTACTACTGAAGCACCAACAACTACCACAACTACTGAAACTCCAAGCACTACAACAACTACAGAGGCACCAACAACTACCACTACAGAAGCCTTGACCACTACTACTGAAGCACCAACAACTACCACAACTACTGAAACTCCAAGCACTACAACAACTACAGAGGCACCAACAACTACCACTACAGAAGCCTTGACCACTACTACTACTGAAGCACCAACAACTACCACAACTACTGAAACTCCAAGCACTACAACAACTACAGAGGCACCAACAACTACCACTACAGAAGCCTTGACCACTACTACTACTGAAGTACCAACAACTACCACAACTACTGAAACTCCAAGCACTACAACAACTACAGAGGCACCAACAACTACCACCACAGAAGCCTTGACCACTACTACTGAAGCACCAACAACTACCACAACTACTGAAACTCCAATCACAACAACAACTACACAGGCACCAACAACTACCACTACAGAAGCCTTGACCTCTACTACTGAAGTACCAACAACTACCACAACTACTGAAACTCCAAACACTACAACAACTACAGAGGCACCAACAACTACCACTACAGAAGCCTTGACCACTACTACTGAAGCACCAACAACTACCACAACTACTGAAACTCCAAGCACTACAACAACTACAGAGGCACCAACAACTACCACTACAGAAGCCTTGACCACTACTACTACTGAAGCACCAACAACTACCACAACTACTGAAACTCCAAGCACTACAACAACTACAGAGGCACCAACAACTACCACTACAGAAGCCTTGACCACTACTACTACTGAAGCAACAACAACTACCACAACTACTGAAACTCCAACAACAACAACAACTACACAGGCACCAACAACTACCACCACAGAAGCCTTGACCACTACTACTGAAGTACCAAAAACTACCACAACTACTGAAACTCCAAGCACTACAACAACTACAGAGGCACCAACAACTACCACTACAGAAGCCTTGAGCACTACTACTGAAGCACCAACAACTACCACAACTACTGAAACTTCAAGCACTACAACAACAACTACAGAGGCACCAACAACTACCACTACAGAAGCCTTGACCACTACTACTGAAGCACCAACAACTACCACAACTACTGAAACTCCAAGCACTACAACAACTACAGAGGCACCAACAACTACCACTACAGAAGCCTTGACCACTACTACTACTGAAGCACCAACAACTACCACAACTACTGAAACTCCAAGCACTACAACAACTACAGAGGCACCAACAACTACCAATACAGAAGCCTTGACCACTACTACTACTGAAGCACCAACAACTACCACAACTACTGAAACTCCAACAACAACAACAACTACACAGGCACCAACAACTACCACCACAGAAGCCTTGACCACTACTACTGAAGCACCAACAACTACCACAACTACTGAAACTCCAAGCACTACAACAACTACAGAGCCACCAACAACTACCACTACAGAAGCCTTGACCACTACTACTGAAGCACCAACAACTACCACAACTACTGAAACTCCAAGCACTACAACAACTACAGAGGCACCAACAACTACCACTACAGAAGCCTTGACCACTACTACTACTGAAGCACCAACAACTACCACAACTACTGAAACTCCAAGCACTACAACAACTACAGAGGCACCAACAACTACCACTACAGAAGCCTTGACCACTACTACTACTGAAGCACCAACAACTACCACAACTACTGAAACTCCAAGCACTACAACAACTACAGAGGCACCAACAACTACCACCACAGAAGCCTTGACCACTACTACTGAAGCACCAACAACTACCACAACTACTGAAACTCCAAGCACTACAACAACTACACAGGCACCAACAACTACCACTACAGAAGCCTTGACCACTACTACTACTGAAGCACCAACAACTACCACAACTACTGAAACTCCAAGCACTACAACAACTACAGAGGCACCAACAACTACCACTACAGAAGCCTTGACCACTACAACTGAAGCACCAACAACTACCACAACTACTGAAACTCCAAGCACTACAACAACTACAGAGGCACCAACAACTACCACTACAGAAGCCTTGACCACTACTACTGAAGCACCAACAACTACCACAACTACTGAAACGCCAAGCACTTTAACAAAAACAGAGGCACCAACAACTACCACCACAGAAGCCTTGACCACTACTACTGAAGCACCAACAACTACCACAACTACTGAAACTCCAAGCACTACAACAACTACAGAGGCACCAACAACTACCACTACAGAAGCCTTGACCACTACTACTACTGAAGCACCAACAACTACCACAACTACTGAAACTCCAAGCACTACAACAACTACAGAGGCACCAACAACTACCACTACAGAAGCCTTGACCACTACTACTGAAGCACCAACAACTACCACAACTACTGAAACTCCAAGCACTACAACAACTACAGAGGCACCAACAACTACCACTACAGAAGCCTTGACCACTACTACTACTGAAGCACCAACAACTACCACAACTACTGAAACTCCAAGCACTACAACAACTACACAGGCACCAACAACTACCACTACAGAAGCTTTGACCACTACTACTACTGAAGCACCCACAACTACTGAAACTCCAAGCACTACAACAACTACAGAGGCACCAACAACTACCACTACAGAAGCCTTGACCACTACTACTACTGAAGCACCAACAACTACCACAACTACTGAAACTCCAAGCACTACAACAACTACAGAGGCACCAACAACTACCACCACAGAAGCCTTGACCACTACTACTACTGAAGCACCAACAACTACCACAAGTACTGAAACTCCAACCACAACAACAACTACACAGGCACCAACAACTACCACCACAGAAGCCTTGACCACTACTACTGAAGCACCAACAACTACCACAACTACTGAAACTCCAAGCACTACAACAACTACAGAGGCACCAACAACTACCACTACAGAAGCCTTGACCACTACTACTGAAGCACCAACAACTACCACAACTACTGAAACTCCAAGCACTACAACAACTACAGAGGCACCAACAACTACCACTACAGAAGCCTTGACCACTACTACTGAAGCACCAACAACTACCACAACTACTGAAACTCCAAGCACTACAACAACTACAGAGGCACCAACAACTACCACCACAGAAGCCTTGACCACTACTACTACTGAAGCACCAACTACCACAACTACTGAAACTCCAAGCACTACAACAACTACAGAGGCACCAACAACTACCACTACAGAAGCCTTGACCACTACTACTACTGAAGTACCAACAACTACCACAACTACTGAAACTCCAAGCACTACAACAACTACAGAGGCACCAACAACTACCACTACAGAAGCCTTGACCACTACTACTGAAGCACCATCAACTACCACAACTACTGAAACTCCAAGCACTACAACAACAACTACAGAGGCACCAACAACTACCACTACAGAAGCCTTGACCACTACTACTACTGAAGCACCAACAACTACCACAACTACTGAAACTCCAAGCACTACAACAACTACAGAGGCACCAACAACTACCACCACAGAAGCCTTGACCACTACTACTGAAGCACCAACAACTACCATAACTACTGAAACTCCAAGCACTACAACAACTACAGAGGCACCAACAACTACCACTACTACTACTGAAGCACCAACAACTACCACAACTACCACAACGGAGGCTGCAATTACTAGTACAACTACAGAATTTCCATTAATTTTAGCTGGTATGCCAATTTTTAAGTTTTATTGTTTATTGGGCTGACCTTTATTCATCTTCTTTTAATGGCTTTCAATTGATTTTTTCAGCTTTGAATATACTCAAATCCTCCTTATATCTAAATATATTTTGTAAGTGTTATCTTTCTTAAAGGCTAATGGGAAAAAATTCTTATCAGATTTTGCATTGTGTGTGTTAGGAAATTGGAAGGGGGAGCAGTGCCCACACATGGAGAATCATTTATGCTCTGTAGTTTCTGTTTATTCTCAACTCCAAGTTTATACATTGGTTTTCAAGTGATAATCTTTAAAATGTGTTGAACTGTCTATTATCTTTTGAATTTTGGTTTCATATCTTTTATACTCTGCTTACATTTAAATGTGTCTCTTTCCTTAAATGAATTATATTTATTTTGAATTATCAAAGACTTGTTAATGTATAATGAACCCAAGCTAAACAGTGAAGTCAGAATTGCCAATAATTGCTCTAGACATTAACTTTTCAATACAAAAGAGACCCCGAAACTAATGCAAAAAGAGAAAAAAAATCAATTTTGTTTGACTAATGGACAAATAAATGTTAAATGCATGCAAATTTTCACTAACTAGTCAGGCTTCTATTACCTATATAAACATTCTCCTAGGTCAATCATTAAATGTTACTGATGTCTAAGCAACAACCTACTCCTTTAAAAAACACAAACTTAATTGCTGTGCTTTGAAGTGCCTTTAATCTGGGTTTTTTAATATGTCTGTAAATATTATATGAAGTTGCTCAATGAACAAAGTTAAACACGTATCTTTTAATATCCTTGCAGAATTTCTAGATCATGGGACATTGGCAGGTGATTCAAAATCAAGCATAGGGGATGATCTTCTGGTGGCAGTGATAGATAATCCTATTGGTTTTACATGTGGAAAAACAACTTCACCTTATGCTTATGTAAGTAAAATAACTGAAAAAGCAAAAAAAAACATGCTTGCAAATATTTATTTTTATGCCCCCCCCCCCCTTGAAAAAGGGGGCATATTACTAATTGCATCTGTCTATTGGTATGTTGGTCAGCCAGTAGACCTGCAAATGTTGTCCGCTCAATATCTTTAAAACCCTTAATTGCTTGACGGGCATCAAACTTGGTATACTGTTACTCCTTGAAGTCAGTAAATGATCCCTTTGGATTTTGAGACATTATAGGAAGATACTGTCTTTTCAATATCATGAGAACCCTTTGCTTCACAGACATCAAATTTTGTACACTGGTTTTCCATATGGAGTAGATGAGGTCACAAGGTCAAACTAAATAGTCACTTATAATGACATAAAAGATACTGTCAGTTCAGACATTAAATATGGTACACTGAAACCTTCTAAGAAGGGAATTATCATTCATTATATTGAAGTCTGATAGATATCAAACTTAGTACATATGTTGCCACTGAGTATTAAATGACATATTATTCACTATCATTACACATGTTACAGACATTCTAAATTAAAAGTTTTTCCTTTTGTAATATGCCACACAGGGGGCATATATTTTCTTAAGCATTTCTTTTTTTTTCCTAGTGTCAGCCTAACCCTGTGGTGAGGATCACTCATATGCTAAGTTATCTTTTCTCAGAAAAGACTAAGTTCATGTCATGTCTATTATTTAATCTTGTACATACTTTCCAGATTGCATCATGAGCAGCAAAAATTTTACCAAAGTAGGAACTAGTGTTTTAATATGAGTGGTCTCTCTGACTCAAGAGAAAACCTTGCTATTAATTCAACTTCTCAAACAAGTTCCAAATCTATTTGTTTTCAACATGCAAAATTTTTGATTGTCCATGATTTTTTTTTTTAAAATATCATTGTGATAAGTCATAATACATACATAATAATTACCAGATAAGAATATATATGCTTCCTACATGTATTCCCATTGTGATATTCCTGAGGTTAATTTACTCAACTTTTTTTCATGTACATGAAAATATAAATTGCCTAATATACATTCAAATCATTGTGAGTCATTTTCCAATTTTTTTTTTATAAAATACTTGATGAAAAGTTTCTTAGCTTGATGAATTTTTACTCCTTCAGAGTATTGCATTTAAGATATACAGTGAAACTTGCCTAAAATGATGTAAACTTTAAGTCCTTTTTAGTAAATTCATTTGTTTAAAATATTTTCTAATCCGGAATGTTGTCTAATCTGGCCAATTTCTTTGGAATGAGTGGTGTCCGGATTAGATAAGTTTTACTGTATATACATTCTCTTCTTTTGGCATTTCTTTAAAATGTGTACAATTGTAGCAACTTTGACTTTTGTGACTTTTTTTGTAGATCTTTTCTAATGGATATGTAACATTTGACTACTTTGACAGTGGAAGGCCAAGATTGTTTTCAGATAAATCTCAAACACAGCCACACAACATGGTTGCTCCTTTGTGGTCGGATATAGACATGACAAGCGATTCTCGCATTTGGTATCATTTCTACAATAAATTCACAGCAGACTCCTCAGTTCTGAGCCAGGCCCAGTCTCTGATTGTGGAGAATTACAGAGACTCAGCTACAGCCTCTAGTTTTAACCCTAATACAGCTTTAGTCGTGACATGGGAGAATGTTCATCCTGCTCCAGTGTCATCATATTCCTCACAGGTAACTGAGAATGTTAAAAAATCTTTTCATCCATGTGTTTTTTTTAATGTCAATTACAGATAAATAGATACAGATGATTTTCAATGTTTTGTAGTTGTATGTTGATTTTATTTCATTAGTTGGACAGGATTTTTTTTTAATTTTATCAGTGCAAAGTTCATTTGAAAATATCAAAAAATCCTGTCTCAAAAGTGAAATATAATGGAAGCACCATGTCCATCTGTCTGTCAGTCCATGTGCTCACCTGATAAAGGTCACTTTTGCTACTTATCTCAATAAGTATCCAAACTAAATTTGAAGATATGGTATATTTTTAAGAAGATGCATACTCCAGTTGCTGTATCTGTCACCCACATTGTGATGCTCCAGTGATGCGTATTAAGTGCAAAATTAAGCTACAAATGAGTTTATGTCCATTTTTAGCTATAAGCTTAAGAAGCATCCAAATCAAGATATGATACATGTATAAATATTTAGTGTCATGCCTCAGATGCTGTATCTTATCTGTATTTGAAACTCCATGCAGTGACTCTGAAGGTTAAACTCAGCATTTTGTTTACCTTTTAGCTTATGGCCCGGGTATCCAAACAAAGCTGCAGATAAGGTGCATCATTGGATACTATATATAGTACTTTATATAATATGGTACACATCCCAGATATTTCATCCGCATGTGAGTTAAGGCTAGGTATAGGCATTTCTATGCAAATGAGCTAATAAAAACGCATAAGAGGTATATTTACTATTCAGAGAAAGTTTTGATTTATTTTCATTTGCATACTTAGTATCCACAATATGTTATAGCCATTACACATGATGACGTCATATTGTGACGTCACTGATCTTACCTACTGGTGGTAATAAAACACATCAACAAAACAGCTTCAGCGCAAGAGGTTACCCTAATTATTTTCACATAAAATTTGTATAATGCTAAGAAGAATATTCTTTAGATTAATAAAACCGCTGCATAAATCCTAGGCATTCTCTCATTTAATCGGAATTTGAGGAAACTTATACCGGACTGTACATTTTTACCTTTCTTCAACTTAAAACTTTACAAATAGAAATTATATTACTGAGCTGTTGATACTTGTGCAGCAATATAAGCAAACTTTTGAATATTTTGCTTCTTAATATACATGTACCTTGTTTCAGTTAAATAAAATAGAGCATGCCCTTGCGCCGAAGCATTTTTGTTGATGTCTATTATAATATTGTGTAGTAAAGAACAATGACGTCATAATTTGACGTCATAATGTGAACTGGCTATCTCATGTTGTGGGTACTAAGTATGTATTAGACAATAAGTTTTAACTTTCTCTGTATAATAGATATAGTCCTTAGGCATTTTAACTAGATTATTTGCATAGAAATGCCCATACCTAGCCTTAACTCACCTGCGTCTGATTACATTTTTTATACAGTGCTTCTATTATTCCAGTTAAGGGAGCCAATGTTTTTTTTTGTTTTTGTTTTTTAAAAATTTCTTTTTTGTGTGTGTGAAAACTACAATAGAAAAACTCTACTTTTATAACAGGTGTAGCCTACACTGATTTCAATGTACATGCAGTTTCAGGAAAATCTACCATGGAGTATTTTCAGGGACCATTTACATTTACAATAGAATTGTAACTGAAAGCACTTTTTTGCACTTCAATTCAAAGTATAAAAATACTACTGTAGTATACAATGCACCATTCTCAGCTTTTGCCTTTTCACAAATAACATACAGTGCATTAAGATCTACTGATACTTCTGTAAATGCATCATTTGAAATTAACCATATTTTGATCAGGCCCTTGAAAAGATCTAGTATCAGTCCCTTTAGGACAACTCTACTTTAAAATCATTTAAAAATGTGCACACACATTTAATCATAATGCATACATCGATCTATATAATTGTATAGAAGTTCTGCAAATTTTTCTTTTTTTATGGTACAGAATGCCAGTTTCCAGTTGCTAATAGCCAGTGATGGAGTGACCACCTACACAGCTTTTCTGTTTAAACAGATGGACTGGGTCCCCCCTAAACCTGCCCTACTGGGCTACAAGTGTGGATATGGGCAGTCCGACTTCTTTTACCACCCTGCTTCATTGACTAACAACCTGTTACAGCAAGCGATTCGTAGTCACTACAGTGGTATGACATTTGTACTTGTAACTTTTAAATATACAATACAGTCACCCATACCAGCGGCGGATCCAGGAATTTCATAACGGGGGGGGGCAGTAGAAGGCAGGGGGTCTGGGGGCTGCATTGAAGCCCCCAACGGGTCCAGGGTAAAGACCTGGTGGGGGTCCAGTGGCGAAGGCCCTGGAAACTGATGAATTCTAACAAATAAGAGGTGTTTTTTCCCTTGATACTAGGATAATATAAACAAAATGTCCAAAAAAAAATTTAAACGGGGGGGGGGGGGTGCGCACGTCCGGCGCTGGATCTGCCTTTCTCGAATTCAGTGGGACCATGGAAAAACTTGGAGATATGGTGATCGATGCATGGGTTTGAGTTATTGAGGGTTAAATACATAAAGAAAAAGTGGTTGGATTGCTAAATGATTTCAACATAATATGATATCCATGGTATTCGAGATATTGCATTTGATGTTCGAGGGAAGTTCAACTGAATATAGTCTAATACTTTCGTTTTTTTAAAAAACGATCAACATGGATTAATTCCGATTTTGTTGTTAGTTTTTAATATCACGTACTGTATTTAATTTTTGTTTTTAATAAAATGATATTTAATTAACCCCTAAATCTATGAGTTTCACTATGCATACCCCTTCTGACTGAAAAGTTTAATCCCCTAACTGCTCCAGGCTGTTACCTGTGTGCATTGAATAAACATGTCTGATATTCTAATCCTGATTGACAAAATATTGCGGTAGGGAAACTCTGAAAATCGGAAATTTTAGGTTGATTTTTTTTCAAATCGGGATTTTTGTCACTCCACCCCCACCCCCCGATTTTCCAAGTTTGGACAGCATTTTTACTTTCGGTGGTTTTAATTTTTCATTATATATTTTTATTTATTTATTTATCTGACATTACTTTTGTTTGTTTGTTTGTTAAACTTTTTTTTTTAGTTGTTTGTCAATATTACCCCCCTCCTTCCCCGGTCGGTCTATTCTTAAGAGAGATTAAACTTTGAAATACGTGCCTGAATCCAATCACCTGATCACCAGATCACGTAAACAGCTGGTAACTGGAGAAAATTCTCACAATCCAGTTACAGGGACTCGGTCCTTCGGGCTTATTGCGTGTTATGATGATGATAAAACATAGAGGTTTACCGAACATGCAAGGAAAGTCTAGAGAGAGCAGAAGTAAAATGCGCGCCAAACTTCAGCATGCTACTTCCGTTGCTGTCGATTTCTTGCACTGGGGGCATCGAGGACGTTTTGTGTGTGCATGTGGAATATGCACGGTTCTAAATAGCATGTTCCATTTGACTGACAGTATGGAAAAGTCATTTGCTAGATATCGCACATAAACGGTAGGAAAGGTCCGGAGTGGTTATTATTTAAAATCTACTGTGAATCGAGCCCCTCCCCCCCTCCAAAATGGCGATCGATTGTTGACGTTTTACCACTACCAGTGTACTGGAAAAAAATCCATAGAAATGGGATTTAAACTTATCTGTCGGTGATCAATTTACACGATAAATTAGGGTTTCTTCACAATCTGCAAGTGAAAAACTGGACACGTATCGGAAATGCCATGAGTTGGATAACCCAAACCACATTTGTAGCATCCTTGTGCAGTTTGCTGTTGTGTAAAGATGTGCAAGCAAGTTTTCATGTGCTAAGATAATTTCGGGCCCGTAGGGATCGAGAGCCCCCCTCCTAATAATTTTGTCAGGATGTACTTTACCATAGAACGAAGCTAATTTACGGTTGTGCCCCCTCAAAAAATGTCAGATGACCTTTTAATTGTTAGGTAAAAAAAAAAACAAAACAAAACTGCACGCCTTTTGTGATTTATGACACAGCTATATATTGCATTTTTTATGCATGCTTCATATGGATATACACTCAAGCTCAATAAAATGGTGCAAATGTTAAGCGTAAAAAAATAATGAAATGTCAAAGAAAATACTTTTTGAATGAATGCATGAATATGTAACCTTTAAGGCAAAAATACAAAAATGAAGTGAACAAATCATATTGAGATATTTTATTTGGCATATAGTGATTTTTTGAAACGTACGTTACTGTCGCCAACATCGAATAATTACACTTGAATGGCTATTTCTTGTACAAATAACAGTTGAATCTTAAATTAAATAGCATATGTCTTCAAAACATTTATTTTTAAAATGCTTTTAATAAATTATTGAGCATAATCACAAATATATTACCAAACTTTGATCTGATATCCCCATGTCGCCAGAAACAAAATAAAAACGGACTATGACATTAAATATAGTATGAGTATTAGGTATTGTATGCCTGTAAGATTGGAATACGTTTTATTTTGAAGGAAACTTCTTGAAAATTAAAAAAAAATGTTACAAAGCCTTGTATATGTTACCAATACTTTGAAATTACATTCTATCTTCCTATTTTACATGCGTATGGATAGGCATGAAACATTCGTTGTATTAGTTTAATAGATGAAATAGAATGATATCATAGTTAAACATGTGATTCTTTTTCTTCTATCCAACAACTGTATTCCATGCTCCTGAACCATGATTTAACAATGTCTTATTGTTAGCTTACTATTTAAGAGAAAATGATTAAATGAAACAACCGTTACCGAAACATTCGTTACCAAACCTCTTAAAAAAGAATGATTTATGAGTTCAAACATCTTCTGCACATATACGTAGTCAAATATTTTGCGCCACTGTATTCAAATTTTGACATCCGGAGTACGGTACTGCCTTTTTTATGATTTTTTTCTAAAGTCTAGACAGTGTTGGTGAGTTTGTTTTCTAGAATGCAATAACAATGAATCAAATGTAATGAATTACAGTAAAACTTGTCCAATCCGGCAACCAGTGGTTCCAAAATTTTTGGCCGGATTAGACAACATCCGGATTGGAGAAAATTGAACCGTTATAGCAAGTTAAAAGTTACATAGATATAAATAAAGAGTGGTAAATAAATACATGTACTTGATCAAATGTGTCATTTTCTTTTACGTTTCACTTGCAAAAATCGTCTATTTCGTTTGTTTTGAGTTCTGATTGTTCTTCAGAATTTTCATTTCTGTTCAAGTTTTTTATTCAGTATCTGTTGGTCATTTATTAAATTTGAAAATCGTTAAATGTTTTAAACACACTCCAAAACCTCATCGAAGTTGTAAATATTATTTTGTTAGGGACAGATTCCTAATTAATTTCTTTCTTTTAAAATTAATATGTTCGAATATTTAGACACTGTATTTGTTAATTTCAAATGTTATAATGAATGTTGGACCAAAATCTTCTGTCGTTATGGTTGTTGTAAACTGGTGACACAAAGGGAAGTAATTCGAATTGCACGTCGTGCACGCAAAACGAAAGTAGAAAGGAGGTTACAGAATAGGTAAGATCCGGATTGAACAACATTTATCAAACATAAATTATAAAGAAAATTCAAGGGACTAATAGAATCATTCATTATTACGAGTATGGGATAGTGAAATTCCACCAAGGGGACAAGATTCACAGTCTAGGACGAGGCTTTGCCGAGTCCTAGACCGTGAATCTTGGCCCCGAGGTGGAATTTCACTATTCCCACACGAGTATGTAATGAATGATTATTTTTCTCGCATTATTTTATCCAAAATAACGGCCTGTCAATGACGTCGCCATGATAGGGCTAAAAATATATTCTTTTAATTTTCCATCTAATTAAAAATCTAAATGCACCATCGGAGAGAGCGTACTTGAAAATGGTTTACACAAAGTGTAAACTGATAAAATGAATTTCAGTCCATGTAAATTAATTAGATAGATAAAAACTGGGAATAAAAAAATTTATCTATCCGATAGCGTACACATTCATTCAAGAAGAATCCTTCCGCGATCTAAAAATAGTGCCATTTAAAAAGTGAAAATACGACAATATTTTGAATGAAAATAAGTTTATCTTAATAAGTTAAATGACAACATTTTAAGTATATGTAATATTTTTTAACATTGTTACAATTTCTTTATATAAAGCCGGAATGTTTACGTTATCATTCCCGGCATAGTAATACACAGTGTAAGACAGAAAAATCTCACACTGCTGTCTCACACCGGACAAGTCAATCTTACACTGGTGATTATGCGAGAATAAAATATTACGCCGGACTGAACAACATGCCGGAATGCACAACATCCGGATTCAACAAGTTTTACTGTAGTATGTAACTGTTAATATTTATATAACGACCGACAACAACTACGCAACCAGTATCAATCTACACCTGAATGTCCTCTGTTAGTCTTGAAAGGTGTTGAAACGTTCGTTACCGAAGGTAACAAATGTTACAAAATTTTTAACAAATCATATATCAAAATAGCAACAATATTTACAGAATTTCTTTCATGACTAATTGTTCGAATGTAAACTTTATTGATTGATTTGTATCATTTTAAGCTTAAGTTGCATAAATTTTAATATAATTTAAACTGATTCTAGAGACGCATTATTGAACACACACGTTAATTCTGAAGAAAAACATTAATCGAAATTATTTTGAAAGACATTTTTAGATTGAATCATATGATATTGATTAAACAAAGGCTTGATTTTCTATTCTGAATCTACATCAGGGTTTTTTGTTTCTCTCTTATAATTTTGATACTGTTAAAGTCGCATTTTATGTTAAGTAACGTACGTTTCAGCATTTTATTTTAGTTGAACTATGGCATTGACCCAAGCAGAAATACGAAGGAAGTTTCCATTGATGGTTAAATGATTTCAAGCTAAAAGTCATCAGAAAAATTGTTATTTACATTATTTTAGGTTCTGTTAAAATGTCTATACAGACAATTTTACATATATCTCTTATCCATTTGTACATATAGTACAGTTCAAGGAAAATATGACATGATGATATAGATGATGCAGTTCAAATTATGATTTCTTTTGACATTTTCAATACCATGGCACAATTAGAGCAGAAATTACATCTCATGAATGGTCCATTTTGTTGGAATTAATCTTAAAAACAGTAAATATTACTTCTTATGAAACATTCGTTACATACGGACGTTGTTGCATTTGAAAGTGTAAATAAGAACAAGATCACAATTCATGAACAACATTTTATTTAACGTTTCTATAAATGGATCCTCTATTCATTTAGAACCCCCATTTGCGCTGGGCAGTTTTGATTTTTCTTGAGGCATATTTGAAATATAAAATTTTAGAGATATATCAAATTCATTTGAAGAAAAAAATATAATACGACAATTTGACTGCATCAATTCATAAAATACATTATGACAGTTGACCTTTTTTGTCTTGTCACGAAAGTAAGTAGACTGATTTGCTTTTGACATTGAGGATTTATTACAATCTATATTATTTCATCCTAAAATCTTAAAGGAAAACTATAATATGATACGTAACGCTTGTTTCTCAGCAAATAATGATCAACAATACACCTTATTTCAAATTGACGTAATTTCTTAACCAATGAACTTAACTTGAAAAATCTTTGGGAATACAAACTTGATATGTTGATCTATCCGAAAATGTTATTAGCAGATGGATAATCAAAAGTCGATTTTTGAAGAAAAAATATCTTGAATTGCACCAATTTATTGAGTTTGGGTGTATAATGTTATATAATCACTTATCAGACATATTAATTAAAGCAAAGCAGAAATATTTCTATATTTTGTGTTTTTACAGGTGGAAAAAAGAATGAGACTGGGCTTTGGATTTACAAGATCGATTCTTTGCCTGCTGGCACAGTGAATTATAGACAGAAATGTTTCAGTTGGATACAGGATTACGGCAAACCTGATTACTTAAAAACTTTAATTGCTGATGTCAAACTCACAAAATGCCCTTGTAGTGAAGACAGGGTGCAAAAAGATGGTCGCTTTGTGAAGCTCACAACACAGGATACTAATAACTGTTATGTATTGGAATTCCCTGGTAGTACATCTGGAACACGGGTATGTTTAGAGAGGGAGAACTTTCAGTCTTGCTTTTTATTTTTTAAATTAAATGATTCTGATAATATTTATATATTGTCTTGTATAGGAACCTAATGTGTACTGTATTTGTGTACTGCAAGGACATATTAGTTGTCCAGTAAACAAACATTGGCTAATTTGCATTAATTGCTCAAAAAAAAAAAAAAAATAAAATAAAATAAAATGTTTAAATTAATTTCAGAATTGGGTTGAACATATTTACTTGGTCTACTCAATCAACAGAAAAATAGAATTAAAATGCCAATGATACCCTTACACATAAATACAGATACATATTTGAACAATCAAAATAAATGTGTATCTTTTGAATAGATTGTGATTCATTAAATATATGAGCTTGAAATAATTATTATAAACTTTCTGATGTTAATTTAAAATATTTCTTTAAAAATTTCCCTTTTTCTACATGTTCTAGAGCTATAAATCATATTATTTCATCTATAAGATAAATAGAAAATACAGTGTACTAGTATACCGAAATTTGAAGCTAAAATTGAACCATATACATGTATAAACCAGGATCCGGTTGCACGAATGTTAGTTAAATTTAACTGGCCATTAACTTTGCGTTAACCCGATGTTAAAGGTTCACTTCTATATAAATAGGGATCTGATCTATAGGGCCGGGCTTGGTTTTTTCCTCCACAAAAAGCTTGTCGATTTCCGTTCCAATTAATGACATTAGGCTGAATACATGTAACAATTTGTTTTTCATAAATCTTTATTTCAGTGAGTAGAGGTAGGAGGAACACTTTCATTGATATTCTGAGTTTATCTCCAAATGTAATAATTGATATTTTTCTTTATTTCTCATTGTACATAATGGTAATGTCTACTGTCTCTGGAATTCTATTTTTTATGTCAAGGCTATTTATTTTACAACACATTTCCTTTGGATATAATAAAGACATGCCATTAATGTGTGCAAATCATAAAGGCCTAAATGAAATCCAAGGGAGTACAGTTACTGATATATGTAGCCCTACTGTTTCATAACTTAAGATCTTAGAACATTGACTGAAAACAAAAGTGCATGTATGTTATTCTAAAGATATTAAGCTCAAATAATTCAAGCAATATGTAACATACTACATGTAACCCAGACAAGCACTAGTAGCACAGACAGAATAAAAACAGTGTGATTAAATTCTAAGGAATATATACAATTGAAATTCATCGCAGCTCAATGCTGCCGAGAATACCTGTATCGAGTAACACAGAGTGAGTTATTCTTGTCCTCGGAGAAAGTGTGCTTATACTTAGATTTGTTCCGCCTGACTGACAACTGTACATAGGATTGTTACAATTTGATCTCTCTCTAGTGTTTGTTATATCAAGAATGGGAATACATAAAGGATAGATAATTGAAGGAAAATACAAAAGCCTATAAAAAAATTTAAAATGGTCTTTGAAAAGGCGAAAATTTAAAACTATAAAGTGTGGCACCAGGTGGATTCGAACCCCAGACTTTAAAAAGAAAGTACCCACGATATAAAAGTCAGCGCATATATCAAATGAGCTATTCTGACTACAAGATTGAACAGTATAAATTTGAAGCAGATTGTCAAAATGAAGATTATTTATTTTTTGTAGGTTTTTTGTGAATTTCGACCCTAGGGCAGGGATGCCCCTAAAAAAATCCTATCTTAAATTATTCCTTATATCCCAACCTATCAAAATATCACAATTTTATTTAGGGGCAGGCCTGCCCTGAAGGACTTCTAGGCCAAAATTCATGCAAAAATCAATGCTTTAACAGACAAAATGGTGTTTCAGCCAACTTTGGAGGTTTATTGTAAAGTTGTAAATAATAAATTTTAGTTGTAAAATACAAATTTGAAAAATTTCGACATATATACGGAAGAAAACAACAAATAAAGATTGATTTTTAAATGTCACTTTTTCCGGGAAATTGTTCTCTCCTATAGGTCAATTCTTTTGTAATAGTGAATACATCCTTTAACAGTGAGTTAAAACAGTTGCACAAAAGTTAACTAATAGTTAAAGCCTAATTAATTTTCTGATTTAACTAACAGATTTAACCGAGGTTACCTAGGTACATTAAATATTTAATTAAGTGTGATGGTTTGGGCCGTGGATATCGGCCTGGGTAGCTCAGTAGGTAGAGCACCTGACTAGTGATGCAGGGGTCCCGGGTTCGATTCCCGGTCCAGCCATACATTTTCTCCTTTCCTGTTACAGATTTGGTGCCGTTGACCACCCCTGGACTTGCAGGTGAAAGTCCTGCCAGGGGCAAATAAGAACTTGGGTTGTGTCTTCGAGGGCGAAGACAAATTAAGGAGGGAGGAATGTGATGGTTTGGGCCGTGGATATCGGCCTGGGTAGCTCAGTAGGTAGAGCACCTGACTAGTGATGCAGGGGTCCCGGGTTCGATTCCCGGTCCAGCCATACATTTTCTCCTTTCCTGTTACAGATTTGGTGCCGTTGACCACCCCTGGACTTGCAGGTGAAAGTCCTGCCAGGGGCAAATAAGAACTTGGGTTGTGTCTTCGAGGGCGAAGACAAATTAAGGAGGGAGGAATGTGATGGTTTGGGCCGTGGATATCGGCCTGGGTAGCTCAGTAGGTAGAGCACCTGACTAGTGATGCAGGGGTCCCGGGTTCGATTCCCGGTCCAGCCATACATTTTCTCCTTTCCTGTTACATAAGCATTAAAATCAAAATTGCGGACTTGTTATCATTTCAAAACTTGTTTGCACGGAAGGAAGAACTTATACAGATATAATAGAAATGTCTGACTTGAGCAACATGCAAATTTAATCCCAATTTCGATTTAGGCAAGACTGTATTATACATGTGTATATTGCGGATATATGTTGCAATATTATCTGCAAAGAACAACAAGACAAAATCATTCCATATGAGTGGAGATGTAGGTATTTTTTTTCCAATTATGCATACAATAAATGTCATTATATTTTATCAAAATGATCATCATTTAAAAAAAAATCTTAACCTCAGACAAGTTACTGAAAAGTAGGTTAATCGTTCAATTCAAACTTAAGGCACGTAAAATGGGGAGGGGTGGGGATGCGGGGTTGTTCCTCACACTTTTTAAGAGATTTTTTTTTTTTTTATTATTTTCAATTTCCCTCCCAAAAATCAATGCCTTGTGTTAGAACTTAATACTGAATACATACTTTGTAATTGCATTGTAAAATGACTATCTTTCAAGGTAAGAATTCATATTTGAAGTAATTATGACAATTACCATTACACATTACCATTACCCCATCCCTGTAATTATCTAAATGATAATACATTTAATATATTTTACCAATATAAGATTATAAATAACCTTAGCATTTATAACATTTATGAATTGACGTCATTTTGATTATGACGTCAGAAATATTTCACCATAGGTAGGGGAAATGCGCGTTTAGAATGATTTTAACAGAGAGTTAACTAAAGGACATCAATTAAATGTGAGTTAGCTAATTTATTTTTAATAGACTTTTGAACAACAAATTTTTAACTGACAGTTACGTAACTCGTCAGTAAAAATTTAACAGCTAGTTACGGCACTAACTGGGAGTTAATTTAACTAACGTTTGTGCAACCGGATCCAGTTGTGTACTCATTTATAGAAAGAAAAACACACACACAGAGAAAAAACATTTACTGACTTAATTGGTTAAAAATCTTAATAATCTTATATATTGTTAGTATGATTACATATATTGTAAGGAAAATTCCAGTGTCGAACCTTGGTATTTTACAAGACAGAATAATCATCTTCATTGACCGTATGTCCCTTTTTATTTTCACAGAAATGCTGTTACAAAAGCCAGACAACTTTGTTGATTACCACAGGAGAAGAAGCTGGATACATTTATATGGTGAATCCTATGTTGAATTTGAAAGAGTCCAATAGATTTGACAGAGATCCTCATACATGGTGCTGTGAAAAATCAAACTTGTGCAATGAATTCCTTCGCTATCGGATCTCTGATACTTGCAGGTTTTACATTCCTCTTACTTCAGGTAAGTGTTAGATGTCCCTCAAACAGGTTTTTATAATGAGTGACCCATCACAAACATATTTTTTGTACAGATGGGAGGAGAGTGGGGTGCATTCATTTCCATGTTCTGCCTAGTAGAGTCTTTGTCATAAATTTTATTGGTCATTTAGATCCAATCATTCTCTTGTTTACAGAGGCTAATTAGTCTATGCAGTATGCTGTGCAGAAAGAAGACACTATCTTGTAAATGCTCTAGAAATCCCCCTTCCCCTGGCTTCCTTCCAGTTTTTATTCCTTTTTTGTATTTAATCAAGGCTCCTCCTTTGGAGACCCCCATGTAAGAACATTGGATGATCTGACCTATACATTTAATGGACTGGGAGAGTATGTGATGCTGACTATGGTAGAACCAGGAACAAACATCACCCTACTGGAGATACAGACTCGTACAGCACAAGCTGTCAATGCTAATGGAACCAAGATAAATGCCACAGTCTTCCATGCATTTGCTGTCAAGGAAAAAAATGGAGGAGAAGCTCAGGTAGAAGTCAATCTAAATGGTACAGGTATGTGCAGATTTTTAATCAAGAAAAAATAATTTGCAAACAAAGAGGCCCATGGGCCACAACGCTCACCTGAGTCAATATGACCCTGCTGTTCTTTGTCAGCAGATTTCTTCTTCTATATATTCATATGTAAAGCTTTGATTGCCTGTTCTAGGCATATCCCAGTGATTTTTTTCTACCCATTGGGAAAGGGTCCGGTACCGCATCAATTGGGAAAAATAGCATCGAAGTAGAACAAAGAAGAATTTTCTGTCATTTAAACAAATAAAATGTATTCTGCCTTTTTTCCATTATCCTCATTACCTATAACTCCGTGTTTTAAAGAATAAACAACAAGTATTTATTATTTTTCATATCAATGTCTCCTGTTTTCGCATTTTCATGCTTTCAATTTGTCAAAATGTATGACACTATGCTGCCTACACAGGTCCCGCCATATTATTATTACGACTAATATCTACTTTCGATTTAAGCGGAAGTAAAACAATTAGTCAACTTGTACAATGTTTCACATTAAAAAAAAAATACAATGTCATCGTAGTCTGTTGTTTGGCAGTGGAATTGGGAATTTTTAGTCTCAAAATTTGGAAAAATTAACATTTTTTGGCATTGGGAATGGTACCGTTTATCGGTACCAGTTATATAAGGGGAAAAAACCCACTGTACCCTATCCCCAGGTGCCATGTTTTAAATGAAATTGAATCTGCTTCTATATTCATATAACTAATCATGGTTTTGCTGTTCTTGAAAATGGAATTTTAAAGATGTCTGCCACCCTACCCTGGGGGGTAGGGGCAGAGGGGGAGGTGGGTTCATGATTTGAACAAACTTGAATCTACACTGCCTGAGGATGCTTCCATATCAATATGAGTAATTATGGCATTGTTGTTCTTGAGAAGAAGATTTTTAAAGATATTTCTTATATATAATCTTTAGTTAAACTTTGATCCCCCATTATGGCCCCACCTTACTACTGGAGGATGCCTTGAACAAACTTGAATCTACAATACTTGGGGATGCTTCAATATCAATATGACTAATCATGGCTTTCCTGTTCTTGAAAAGATTTTTAAAGATTTTTCCTATATATATATAGATATTCCTATGTAAAACTTTGATCCCCCGTTGTGGCCCCACTCTACCCCTGGGGTCTTGATTTCAACAAACTTGAATCTATACTACCTGAGGATGATTCCATATCAATATGACTACTTTTGGCTTTGTTGTTCTTGAGAAGAAGATTTTTAAAGAATTTTCCTATATATTCCTATGTAAAACTTTGATCCCCCATTGTGGCCCCACTCTACCCTTGGGGTCTTGATTTCAACAAACTTGAATCTATACTACCTGAGGATGATTCCATATCAATTTGACTACTTTTGGCTTTGTTGTTCTTGAGAAGAAGATTTTTAAAGAATTATCCTATTTATTCCTATGTAAAACTTTGATCTCCCATTGTGGCCCCACCCTTCCCCCGGGGGTCATGATTTGAACACACTTGAATCTACACTACCTGAGGATGATTCCATATCAATATGACTACTTTTGGCTTTGTTGTTCTTGAGAAGAAGATTTTTAAAGGATTTTCCTATATATTCCTATGTAAAGCTTTGATCCCCCATTGTGGCCCCACTCTACCCCCCGGTTGTCATGATTTGAACAAACTTGAATCTACACTACCTGAGGATGATTCCATATCAATATGACTAATTGTGGCTCTGTTGTTCTTGAGAAGATTTTTAAAGAATTTTCCTATATATTCTTATGTAAAACTTTGATCCTTCATTGTGGCCCCACCCTACCATCGGGGGTCATGATTTGAAGAAAATTGAATCTACATTATGTCATAAAGGTTTCCCATAACTTTCAACTTTTCTGGCCCAATGGGTCTTGAGAAGGAGATTTTTAAAAGAAGGCACCAAATTTTCACCAATTCTTAATTATCTCCCCTTGGAAGAGGGTGTGGCCCTTCATTTGGACAAACTTGAACCCCCTTCACCCAAGGATGCTTTGTGGCAAGTTTGGTTGAAATTGGCCCAGTGGTTCTGGAGAAGAAGTCGAAAATGTGAAAAGTTTACAGACAGATGGACTACGGACAAAATGTGATCAGAAAAGCTTTTTTTTTCAGTTTCAAAATTGTCGCTTCTGTGAACAGATAATATTATACTGTAGCCAATTTGTCAATTTATTGATCAGTTGTGGACTTTGTCTAATTCTACGATCGAGTTTCTGAAAAACACAGAAACAGTAACAGCCACAGACACTAATTTTACTTGACTAACTGCTTCCAAGACATTTATTTATTAGATCACCAATATTGCTTCATTATGCAAGATTACGTAATCTGAAGGGTATTGCAGGTATCTCGTTAGGGTATTGGCCGGTTACACAGACACCTGAAAACTCGTAGCCTATTGCTCTAACACATTTTGTCCCTGAATATAATAAGTTTATTTTTGTGTTGTAGGTTAAATTATTTTAGGGCCTAAAATCAGCTGATAAAAGAGGGTCTTTCCGATTCGATAATGCGTGTAAATGAAAATACAGTAAAAACTGCCATAGCGACTCACTGTCATATACGTGACTGTAAAAAATTCCTCCCAACACTTTTCACCATATATTATACCTGTATTAAATGACTACCTGTCTGACGCGACCAGCGACCGTAATTTTCGCTAGTACCTTTTTTAGTGGTTTCATGCAATTTTACCTTGATTTAATGACTATATAATTTCTGATTCCTACTTTCAATTTCGGTAGAGCATGCTACATTTTTGGTTCAAACATCTATACAGCATGTACAGACACACATTTTTATCATTTAAAAATTATATATAGTGAGTTTTACAAATAAAACAAATTACAAGATAAATACTTTTACTTACGTTTTGATATTTATTGAATAAATATATTTTGAAAATAGATGTTCGAGGTCGATCCCGATATCATTTCTATGAAATTAACACATATAGCATGTCATAACAGTATAAGGGCCTACTGGTCATTCAGCTATAAAACTTGCCTATTTTACTTTTAATTTCCAAGTAACTAAATCCAACATGTTTATTTAATTCAATTGTGTCACTGTATGGTTATGAAAACACACGACAGCTAGCACCCATACCAGGTGATAATTGAAATGATTGAAGTACCTGGTGACAAACGCGCAATTAGACACAGTAATTTAGTCATGAAAAAAATAGGTTAAATAAATTTTTAGTTATAAATATAATTTTGTTACCAAATGCATAAAAAAAATCATGACACAATTTTAAATTCTTAGTAATGTGCAGAATGTATGAAGTTTTATAGACTATCATGTAAAAAGAAAAAAAAAACTCTATTATAAGAAGAAAATCTTTACAGCTTTTTTATAAATGATTAAAAAATCTTAACATTGTCAGATATTCAATATTTCCCAATAATCAAATATGACTCGTGCAGATCAAACGCAAATTTTATTACCAAACATGACAATTTTACCCATAATATACAAGCGTTTACAGCTGAACAGTACTTATTGAAAAGTGGCAATATACAGTACATGGTATAAAATACATTCCACATACATGTATAATATTTTCACCATTGTATATTTGAACACTGCAGAAAATAAGCAACCTGTATTAAGAGACCACCTGTCATATGTGACCTTTTTTCCTTTCTCCATTGGAAGATCTCTTAATACAGGTTTGACTGTACTGATGAGCATGATCATATTAATTTCTAAAAGAAAGAAAATGGGCAAACTAGCTATGAAATTATCCTGAATATGTAAGATGTAATGATTTTATTAACAATACTAGAGCGAGCTCGTTGCAAAGCAACGAATAGGTCTTCCGTTGGAGCTGCGGAAGGAAGAAGTGACCTTGAGTCAAGGTCATGCCACATTCTAAAGTTATACATGTAAGCAATCTTGTAAGGGGAAGCAGCTTACAATATTTTGCTAGGAAAAACTGTAAAGGAATGTACGTGACCTTGAACATTCCAAATGCCTTGCGTCAAACCATGACACACTCTCGTCATAAAACCCAATCTGTGTGTTACCGACTTGAAAAGTTCACAGTGACACGTCATGTTCTTTTAGTCCATACATACAGTCAAAACATCTTATCCTTAGTGACCTTGAACTTGAGTCAAGGCCATGTCACACTCTGCATGATACCAGCAATGTTTCACTAGTACAAATACGGTAGCGAAATTACAGTTTCTCTGTCAGTGACCTTGACTCGACCAAATGACCTTGCATCAAGGCCATAACACACACTGGTTAAAAGCAATCCCAGTCTGTGAGTTTCTGAATGGATAAGTTCAGCCATATTTTTCCAGATCATACAGCGAGTCGGAATAATTTGTTAGGTTCAACATAATGATTAAAAAATTCATTGAGAATGTTTCATGCCCAGTTTGGATAAGTAGTAAAACGTGGAGATCGGTCCTTTGGATGAGACCGTATAAGGTCTCGTGTCGGGGTAAGTGCTAGCGTGAAAAGGATCTCTCATGCTATAAATTTTGAATTTACCGGGTGGCAGTAAATACTGACAACCGGTAAGTTCAAAATTTACAACATGACAGATCCATGGCACTTGATTCTACCTCTGATTTCAAAAGATTTGCACTGTTCCTGATTTGTATTGTTTGAATGGTCTTTTAAGCTTGAATGCTGCACAGGTGCTTGTGGACATGACCCCCCCCCCCCCCCAATATACACCCCGGGGTCCAAGAATATTTTTATTCGTCTTTTTCCATAAATTAATCCGCGGTATTATGAAATAGAGAAGGTAAGTCACTTCCATTTGTTAACACTGGACCCCTCTTGGATATCGGGCCTAAAATATCATATACATGTACCTACCACATGTCACTAAAATATGTTATTATATCTTGTTTCATCGTCGCAAGCCACGGGTTTTGTGTCCATTCTATTTCCACAAACCCGTGGCTGCCTCCTTCAAATTTCTCTCGTTCTCATGAATATTAATAACATACATTCAACCAAT